CTACCAACAACTGAAGACAAACTTCAAAACTCAGGAGAAGATTTGTCAAGCTTTAAGTATAATGTTAAACTTGGTCGAACACAACCCTGTAAAAGTGAACTCATATGTCATTGCACCTCATGAAGTTTTGAAAGAACTATTGAAACTTTTGACAGAGGCAGACGAATATAAACATCAAAGAAATAGAACCCGACATTGGTTGCTGTGGTGTTTCATATAATGTCATTGACAAGATATACGTTATGAAAGGAGGTGAAACGTTGAATTTAAATATAGTTTCCCAGACGTTATAAAAATATTGACGACCACACATTTCATTAAAGTTTATTTGCTAAGTAAATGGCAGAAGACATAATGGTTTATACTATTACGACTAAAAAACCTGAGTCATATAATTCTATAACAACAAACTTACAAAGTCCTCAAGGACGATATTGTAAACTAACCTTAAACACAATGACGACTAAAGCCTGTTTTGCTCTTTTGACACCAGAAGACTTTATTGTTGTGAATGGTAAAAAATACTCCTTTGAAGATACTTACTCAGATATACCACCAACAGGTTTTGTTGACTTATTTAATACTTTAAGGACGGGTGTAACATGTGCTGCAACTAGAGCAGGTTTCATTATGTTTGGATGTCCGACTGAGTTTACTATAAACGATATGAGCTATAATACAAAACTTATTTCTGGTTTTTACTACCAACAGTTTCCTATAACAGGAAAAGGTGTCATACAAGGAATGTCTATTCCATTGACATTAAGCACACCAAATCTTATATATTGTTTTCAAAACTTAGGTTCAAAGTGTTATTCGAATGTCGACAGAAACTATTATGACCAAAAGATACTTATGCGTATAAACAATACTTTCTCTGCTGGTTTGCCTATTGTTCATTCGAATGCAGAATTTTCAACCTTAGTGAACTCAAACACTTTGGCAAGTATAACGTTGACATTAGTTTGACGCAAACTTTGTTCCTGTAAAACTTTTATGTCCTATGTATTTGTCAATGACGGCAGAAAGTTTCGAATTGGAAGATGCAACTGGTGAAAGTATTGTATTACAAGAACAACTTCAACAACAAATAGCTCAAGAACAACAAATGCAACAAATGGAACAACAAAGTCAAGAATAAAAAAATAATATTTTTTTTATTTTTATAAAAATGTACAGAATAGATGTTTCAGATTTTTATGACTTCCAAGCATTCAGAAATATGTGTCCATTTAGAGACTATAACAAAGCAGTCGAGAATTTGAAACGTTTAGTCATTTATGTTGACTCTGCCCCAGAATGTTATGTCATGAAAGAATGGGATGTTGTCTTTAACAAACCAAGAGCAACACATAGTGTCTGAACAAGAATGTAGACAGAAACTTAAGAAAATAAAAGTCGTACAAGTTGGAATGAAGATGTTAGATGCTTGGGATATCTTATTGTCAAAGTTAGAAGATTTTTTCAGTTCGAGGTATAAAGTTCTATACACCTTCTCCAAACTTCTATTCTATCTTCACTGGATATAAATACGAACAAGTAGAATGGAAAGAAAATATTATAGAAGCTTGGTTAGACCATGTCAAAGAAATTATATGCAATGGAAACGAAAAGGGTTTATGAGTATATCTTATGTTGGTTTGCAAATATCTTTACAACATCCAAGTGCTAAAATGAAACTGCTCTCATTATAATTGGAAAACAAGGAACAGGTAAGAATACTTTCTTTACAGATTCTTATGCAAACTGTTAGAAGGTTATTCGAACCCTAATATGACAAACTTAGAAAACATCTGCGGTAAATTTAACTCTTCAATTGAGAATATGAAACTTATAGTTTGCAATGAACTTCAAAGTATAGATACAACAAAAGTTTTGAACTCAGATGCTTTGAAGAGTCTTATAACAGACAAAGTTGGAGTTGTTGAAAGAAAGTATAAAGACCAAAGAGTTTGTGAAAATGTTGCAAACTTCATTATGGTTTAAACAATGCTGTTCCGATGAAGTTAGAAAGTTCTGACAGAAGATATGTAGTTGTCAGAACGTCAGTTCTCATATGCAAGATACAGAATATTTTGACGACTTAGCAGAAACTTTGACATCTGACTTTTACAACCACTTGTTCTCATATTTCATGACATTAGATATTTCTAAGTTCAATCCAAGACAAATTCCACATACCGAAGAGAGACAAACATTGTTAGAAGCAAACAAGAGTGTATATGAACTGTTCATAGATGAAACTGACTTTGTGTCATTAGATGAAAGGTCATTGTACGATTCGTATAAACAATATTGTCAAGAATATGGTTATATGACAGCTTCTAAACGAACATTCTTGGCAAATGTCAAAAGTCTTTTAGATGTTCAGAATGGTGTATATACAAAGAAAAATTTTTCTGAGTAAATTTTTTTTAAAAAAATATTTTTTTATCCGATAGAAAAGATGACGAAATTCATCTCAGTAAACAAGTACATGTCAGGACTTAAAGAAGAACTAGACCCATTCACATATTTGAATGTTTACTTCTACCATTTTGAAAAGTCTTCATTCAGCAAAGTTTGGAACATCGAACCAGTTAAGTTTGCTATTGTGACTAAAAATGGTGCGAAATTTGAAGACTTAGACATAGAAGGTTTGTTAACAGTCCAAAGAAAGTTTTGACAGAAGGTTCTCAAAACCTTAAAGAAGGCAAAGCATACAAACTTGTTATACCTTATGAACCAAAGAAAGCAGACGACTATGAATATATGAGTCTAAAGTTGTAGAAGTTCAAGGTAAATTGGGTAAAAAGGATTTTAGAGTCTAAGCCAGTGTTTGCCCCTAAAGAGGAAGAGAACATTGACATTGACCCAGAAATGTTCTAAAAATAAAATTTTATTTTTACATGTCAAATTTCTTTTTCTCTGGAACTGGTTCAGGTTCTTTCTTCTCTTCTTCTACTTTCTTTCTCTCTTCTTCTTTTCTGGTGGAGTTATGTCAAATTTGGCGCAACTATATTTTATGTAAAAGTTCTTTGTCCTTTAATAGCTCATCTATTCTGTTTTCTATTTCATCTTCAAGAACAGCGCATGTGTCTTCTTTGCATTCTAAGAACTTTTGTTGGACTTCATCTTTCCAATCGGTGTCATCTCTGTCAACAAGTCTGTCATTGACAATTTTAAGACTGCTCTGCTTAATGTTTTATGGTTCTTGTCATATTCCCAGAAACAGAACTTTAGAACAAATTCCCCTTTCTTGTTTACACTATATGTAAGATTTTATGGTCGACAGATGTTTTGCTGTCGAAAAGCTTGTCTCGAATATAGATAGCGAAATCGCTAAGACATTTTCTAAAAGATAAAAATTTTAATTTTTCTAAAAATATGTTAGAAAAAAGTTTGCTGACATTGACAAGAAATTTGAGAATGTTTTAAAACAAGAACAAGAGGAAGTTAGAAAATGCTCAGATAAAGCCTATACATGACAAGTTCTTATTTGCTCAGAATGGTATAACAGGTCTAATTGCACCACCTGGGTCGGGTAAGACTTTCACTTATCTTAAAATGGCTGCACAACAACAAGAACTAGATGAGAAGAACCCATTCTATGAGTTAGTTGTTATTTGTAGTACTTCTGGTCAATTTGACCAAACCGTCAATTCGTTCAAAGATATTATAAAGAAGTCTAAGTTAGTATGTATAAAGGATTACTGAGTTGTTAGATTGGATAAAGAAGTACCAAAGAAGAGTTTTGAAGTATAATGCTATAAATGAGTATATAAATTCTAAGTTTAAAGACCCAAATGAGGAAATGCAGAGAATATTAGAGAAGAAACACTTCAGAAACAAACAGAAAGAGATAGAATACATTTCGAAGAAATTGCAATCTTACGATTGGAAGACTTACCCTCATAGATGTCTTCTTATCTTAGATGATTTCGCCTCTCATCCTTTGTTAAAGAACAGAGAACAAGATATGTGTCGAATTCTTAAGAAGCTCAGACACTTTAACATCTCAGTCGTAATATGTGTACAGACAGCAAAGAGTTTAAGTAAGGATGTTAAAAGAATACTTACTGACATTATACTTTTCCCCGGATTGTCCGAAGACGATTTCATGGAACTTATGAAAGAGTCCATGGCAGGTAAGTTTGACAGACATGAACTCTGGGAGAAGTATAAAGTCATACAAGACCCTCATACTTCTTTCAGAATTCATATCTACGCAAACAAAGTTCAAATTGTAAAAAGTCAAGCTTGAAAAATATAAGTGTTTAGTCTTAGTAAGTCTGCTGGAGTTCTGCAGCTTTCGGTTCTTCTGGCTTTGGAAGGCATTCAGGAAGAGGAACGCCAGTCATCCGTTTGTGTCCTGTCGGAAGGAAAATATTTTCCTGTCGGAAGGAAAAACTTTTCCTGTCGGAAGGAAAAACTTTTTCTGTCGGAAGGAAAAACTTTTTCTGTCGGAAGGAAGAACTTTTTCTGTCGGAAGGAAAAACTTTTTCTGAAGTTCGACCAAAAAGTTCTCAATTTTCGAAAATTTGAATGGTTTACGGACGGACAACTGGAAGAGTTCTTCCTGTCGTCGGGAAAATTTTTTCCTGTCGGATGGAAGAGTTCTTCCTGTCGTCGGGAAAATTTTTTCCTGTCGGATGGAAGGACTCGGAATGCCAGAAGGATTTGACGAGGCAATTGCCTGAAAAATAAATGGTTCATTTACCCTACTTGTTTGAAGTTGTCAAAATACTCTGTTATTTTTTCCTTTAACAATGGCAAATCTTCTTTGAAGGTAAGTATTGTACAACCTTTCATATCATAGTGTGTTTGAGGTAACGTATCTTGAACTATTTGTTTCACATCTTCATTTGGGGTCATTGAAATCGGTAAGTTTTCGCGATAGAACCAATTTCTGTCAGATTTGTAAATCTTAGCAAGGTCGTAAAAGCTTTTGTTGTTTCTTCTGACTAAATGCAACATAACCATATCTCTGTCTTCTTCATTTTCCATCTCTTCAGTATAAATCATATACTTATAGTTCTTTTCCTTTCCTTTTGGTACCGAACGTGGTATTCTTTTCTGAATGCTTTTGTCTTTGGATTCAATGACTTCATCTTTTGCATGAAGTTTCTTTTCCATCTCTTCACGTTCTTGTCTATGAATTTCGTCAAGAAGTCTGTAAATATACCAAGCATAACGAGGTGAAGCCCACATTGCTACAGCATTTACAAGAAGTCTATGTACATAATATCCTCTCAAACCGTTTGGCAATTTTTCACGATTTTCATAGAGTTTTGGCGACTGGGGTTTTTTACCTACTCGCTGTTCTTCACTGTTTTCATAGAGTTTTGGCGACTGCGGTTTTTTACTTACTCGCTGTTCTTCACTGTTTTCATGAGTTTTAGGCGACCCAGAAAAAAGTCGGTCTCGCTGTGCTTCGCTCAAAAGTTCTTGTGTGCTTTGGTTCCTAAACCAGTCTTGTGGTTTCTTAGTGTCGGGTGCAAAACATGCTGTCAAAATACTTTGCATTTGGTACATGTCATCTTTGACTGAACGAATGAGACGGAGTTGTTTGTTAAACTGTATGTACTCATATTCTTCATTTATAGCTTCATGGACTATAACTGTTGTTGTGTTCTCTGTTGTTGACATATCTGTCTTTACATACAAAATAAAAAAATAAATAAAAATAAAACTAACTTTATTTTTTCTGACTTTCACAAAAGACCAAAAATAAACGCTTTACATGTATTTTTCAGCAACTTCGTCAAATAATTTTATAGCTTTATCTATCTCATCTACTTCAAACGTTTCTTTACCTTTCGTGGGAGCACCATACATTTTCTCAAACTTTTCAAGTAGTTCTGTTTCTGCAGCTCTCATATCATTAACAAACACAACCTTGACTCTATTGACTGTACTGTCATATCTTTGAGTTATATTATATGTTCTTCCTATCTTATATCTTTTTGTATTGAAGTCCTTCGGTTTCTGAACGATGTAAAGTAAGCCTTCACTGCAACGTTCCGTATCGAATGAACCATATGTTATGAAGTTATATCCAACAACTGGGTCTAACCATAACAAAACTATTGGTATAAGACTTTTGTCTATAAGATATGCTGCAGTTCCATAGAATCTTACCGATATCATAAGCACAGGATTTCTTGTCAAAATTTTCTGAGTTGAAGCATTTCTAACCCAGTCGTTTGTTTTCTTTCCAGATGGAGATATAATGTCTGACAAAGAATATTTGTTGTATTTCTTTGAGTATCTTACGTTTAAATCACCTATTCTAACCAATTTGGTGTCATTGTCTATCTTTCTAACTGTTTCAAACTCATTGTTTGACATATATGTCTTTACATACAAAATAAAAAAATAAATAAAAATAAAACTAACTTTATTTTTTCTATCTTAAGGAAATTCATGATTTTCATACGGAATCTCTTCTCTCGGTTTTCCGAGGGAAGCAAGCATATGCCATTTTACTCAGAATTTTGTTGCTGAATTCAATAAAAATAATGTTTAGGTGAAGAGGTGAGATCTCACCTGTTTTCTCACCTGTTTTCTCACCCAAGTTATTTTTTTAAATTTTGTGAAAACTCAACGGTTTGACACGTGCCATATGTCATTTTTTGACGAAGTGAAGTTTTGCACTTAGTCAAAAAAATCCCTGAAATTATTTTACTCAGAAATTTGTTGCTGAATTCAATAAAAATAATGTTTAGGTGAAGAGGTGAGATCTCACCTGTTTTCTCACCTGTTTTCTCACCTCATGTTTTGTCAAGACTTCTTCGTACATGTTTTGTCAAGACTTCTTCGTACATGTTTTGTCAAGACTTCTTCGTAAATGTTTTGTCAAGACTTCTTCGTACATGTTTTGTCAAACATGAACGTAAATGTTTTGTCAAGACTTCATCGTAAATGTTTTGTCAAGACTTCTTCGTAATGAGCGTAAATCAGACAAAAATAATGTTTAGGGTAGAAGGTTAGATCTAACCTGTTTTCTAACCTCTTTTCTAACCTCATGAATTTTCATGATTTCATCGTACATGTTTTGTCAAGACTTCTTCGTACATGTTTTGTCAAGACTTCTTCGTACATGTTTTGTCAAGACTTCTTCGTAATGAGCGTAAATCAGACAAAAATATATTTTAGGTGAAGAGGTGAGATCTCACCTGTTTTCTCACCTGTTTTCTCACCTGTTTTTTCATGAGCGTTTTACATGAATTGTACGATGTATATTTGAAATCTTAAACAGTTTCGTAGCTTCTATTTCTTCTTTTAGTATGTCAAAAGTTTTAACGATACCGAAAGTTTCTTTATACTTCTTCTTGACGTCAGACAGAAGGAAATCTTCTGCTGTTGGATAGTTTTTGTTCAGAAATGCTAACATGTTCATTTTATTTTCTACCGGCTTCTCTGCTTCTTTCTTTAAGTCTGCATAGTCGTTTCTCATACGTTCTATCTCTTTGACGGAGTAGTTATATTTCCTAATTGCTGCTTTACATTTAGAACATTGCGGGTTCATTTTTGCGTTATATTCTGAAACCTTACCTGCTAAAACAACTAAGGCGTCAATGGTTTTCTTTAACTCAAACATAGCGGGTCTTATCTGTTCATTCCATACCTTACCTCTTCTATCTTTATCTCTTATTTCCCAAACACATTCAGCAACTAACGAAACAAAGTTGTCGTAGGTCTTAAATTCTTCAGATTTATATATGTCAGAAACATTCTTATATACCATGTCGCAATCTTTGTCCATAACCTTATGGTTGCAATGAAAACCAAGGAATTCATAATTTACCTTTCGTATGAACTTCTTTATTTCTACTGAGTCAGTTGGTTTCACTTCAATTTCGTCAAATTCGGGAATAGTGAGTTTTTGTTGTTGGATTTCAGGTAGTTTAGGCAAATGGTCAATAATGTCCTGCATTTCATAAAGATACTGTTCATTTGTTTCATCTTTCGCACTACAGTCTAAATTACTTGTTAAAAGTTCTTGCTTTATCTTCTGGATTTTTGTTTCAAAAGTATATGAAGAAGGAATGAAGTTTTTCATCTCTACCAACATTGACGTAGGATTCATAACTAACGAGTTTGGTGCTGTTGTTTGAATTGCTGTTGTGCCGATTGTTGAAATCATATCTTTACATACAAAATAAAAAAAATAAATAAAATAAAGTTAGTTTTATTTTTTATTTCGGGAAAATTCATGAAAATTCATGAGGTGAAAAAACAGGTGAGAAAACGGGTGAGATCTAACCTCTTCACCTAAACATTCTCGTCAAATACAAAAAAATGAAGAATAAATAAAATAAAACTAACTTTATTTTTTCTATCTTAAGGAAATTCATGAAAATTCATGAGGTGAAAAAACATGTGAGAAAACAGGTGAGTTCTCACCTCTTCACCTAAAATATATTTTTGTCTGATTTACGCTCATTACGATGAAGAAGTCTTGACAAAACATTTACGAAGAAGTTTTGACAAAACATATACGTTCATGTTTGACAAAACATTTACGATGAAATCATGAAAATTCAAGAGGGTGAAAAAACAGGTGAGAAAACAGGTTAGATCTAACCTTCTACCCTAAACATTATTTTTGGTGAATTCAGCAAAAATAAATGGTTCATTTACTCACATTTTGACGAAGTGCAAATCTTCACTTCGTTCATTTTGACGAAGTGCAAATCTTCACTTCGTTCATTTTGTGTTGAATTCAAAGGTATTTACTCACATTTTGACGAAGTGCAAATCTTCACTTCGTTCATTTTGTGTTGAATTCAAAGGTATTTACTCACATTTTGACGAAGTGCAAATCTTCACTTCGTTCATTTTGTGTTGAATTCAGCAAAAATAAATGGTTCATTCATAACACCCTTTGTAAGCTCATAAAATGTTTGTTTTGAGGTCGAGCCACTTTTGGCTCCACCGTATTCTTTCAACCAAAACTCAAGAATTTCCTGCATGAATTTTGTATAAAAAGCAACCGCCGGAATTCAGACGGTTGCTATATTCTTCACAAAATGCCTTATAATACTCTTCCCAGGACTTATTTTCCAACAACTTTCTAAAGTCTTTCCTAAACTGACTGACTGACGGCACAAAGTGGCTTAACGAAAACATTAATATATAAAATTCATGAAAATTCAAGAGGGTGAGAAAACAGGTGAGAAAAGAGGTGAAATCTCACCTCTTCACCTAAACATTATTTTTGCTGAATTCAGCAACAACTTTCTCTCAATTGGAGCTGTAGCATACTCTTTGCGTAAGCGGTTCAGACCTTCTTCGAACTCTTGGTCTCTCTTCGATTTGGATTGAGATTGGAATTGCTGGAACAACCAAGGGTTGGGGAAGTAAGGCATAAGCTGAGGAGGGTAGTTCGGGAAGCCTTGTGGTGGGTAGTAACCTTGAGGTGGAAATTGGTAGTAATTCGGAGGTACTTGCTGGAACTGAGGTTGCTGAGGTGCAGGGGTTGGTGCTTTAGGTTCCTCTGGTTTGGGAAGGCGTTCAGGAAGAGGGACGTCGGACATTCGTTTGTGGCTTAACCGTCGGACCACCAACGATAAAAATCTCTGCTACTAGCAGTACTTCTACTGACAGTAGCAGTACTTTTACTGACAGTAGAAGTACTTTTTCTGACAGTAGCAGTACTTTTTCTGACAGTAGCAGTACTTTTTCTGACAGTAGCAGTACTTTTTCTGACAGTAGCAGTACTTTTACTGACAGTAGCAGTACTTTTACTGACAGTAGCAGTACTTTATCGTCGAAAACCCTCTCAAATTTTCCTTTTTACTGACAGTAGCAGTACTTTTACTGACAGTAGCAGTACTTTTACTGACAGTAGCAGTACTTTTACTGACAGTAGCAGTACTTTTTCTGACAGTAGCAGTACTTTTACTGACAGTAGCAATGGACAACATCGAGCCATTAGATGAGGCAGTTTACCTAATTTAAATTAACGAGCTTGTTAAAGACTACTTGCGCAAGGTCATGAAGCCCAAGGTCAAGTTCACCACTATTTCTGGAAGGGCTGCCTTGAATCTCGAGATTTCGACTGGAATTCCAATTCAAATACCAGAAAACACTCCTTTCGACGACATAAAGGACGCCAAAAGAGAAGCTCTTGTTAAGTTCCTAAACAAACGTCCTTGGATACTACTTCCAAACAGAGAGAGTCCAATTCCACGAATTATACAAATTCTCAAGGGTCTCCTTCACTTCTCTGGTCAACCATTCTACATAACCTGTGAAGGCGGCATCCAACCAGTTCAGTAAACATCTCATTTTAACTCCACTTTTTTATGTTTTTTGTGAAAGTGTCAAAAATAAATTGTTTTCATGAGTTTTCTACGATGTTAGAAAAGTGGTTAGAAAACGTGTTAGATCTAACATGCTAACATAAACATTATTTTTCAATACTTTTTCAGCACTTTTCCGTAGTTATATATGAAAGACAATTCGAGATAAAAGTCATAGTACAATGGAATAATATGTTGCACACCATTTGTTGTGAACCAAACTTGAAAGTCAGAGAAACTGTTACTAGGTGGTTCGTAGAATTTAGAAGCAATGTCATAAAGGTCCTTACCAATACATAGAAAACTATTGTTGCTTGAACTGAAACTTGCATGACACATAACATTTTGAGGGTCAAACACGTTTCTATAAACCATCAAAATCTGCTGGTGGAAGTATAAATTTAAATGGACCATCTGGTGTAATGGTTCGTTCTGGTTTAGTAACCGAAGAAATTGTGCCCAAGAACGTTTGTCTACTTTCCAAAATAAAAACTCTGTATCTCTTGGAGGGTTAATTTCAATCTTTTGAAATGAAACGGTGGAGTTCATCTTGTCATATTCTAGTTTCAGATAGTATGTTCCATTTAGTAAAGAGTCGTATTTTTTTGAAATTCCCAATAATATTTGTTCATTTGAGTTTGAAAGTCATTTAGAGTTTTCTCAAGACTTTCGTCTGAACGAACTGTAAAGATTCTCATTTCGTCAAATTTGTCTATTAGACCATCAGAACCTTTATACTGCCCATGAAAATATACTGCGAACATAAATGCGTTAGTTCTATTTGAAAACAAAACTCTTCTAAATCCTATTGCCTTTGCATCTGAAGGACTTTGAAGCCAACGAATTGGATAGTCAAACCTGTATGCTCGGGATGAAATTTCTTCATCTGAAATAGTCCTACCAGCATTTGTAAAGATATAGTCTAACGCGTTTTGTATCTGCTACTTTTTGTTTGTTTTTCAACCTGAAGCATTTAATATATGTAAAAATATATTGTTTTAAAATGGTATGCCATTTCATATTTCTCATCTAACAAACAAGTTTCCTGTAATAAACAGAAATTCATCAAAAGTGACAGCTCTCAATTTTTTGACATTTGTAATTTCTAAATTGAATGAGAAAAATGAAATAATACTAAGCATAATACAATATTCTAGATTTAATTATAATTAGGAAAAAGTTAGTTTTGAGAATACTTTTCATAGGCATATAGAATGAAATCTTCTGAAAAATAATATCACATAAACTCATATTATTTTCTAATATATAACTATTTTATATAAAAATCAAATTCAATGATCTTAAAAGCGAAGGATAAACCTCAAAATTTACGAATATAATGAGTGGGAATATAATGCTTATCTATCATAAAACCATATGAAATATCAATTTTTGCTTTACGCCTAATTTTTGACGACAATTAGCAAAAAATGTTAAATGTTAACACTCAGTCCATTTGAATATGAAAAATAAAATTGACTTTGATTAAATGTTTTTATTTATCATGCAATTCTTCTTGCGACCAAAGATTTGAATAAAAGTTCAAAAAATAAGATAGCTTAAAAAATAATATACGGTAGTGTTTACTAATAGATGAATAGTATATAAATTCTATTAAAATGGATTTGATCCAAAAAAATATATAAAATTTGATCATAAATAAAATCGTTTTAAATTACTTCTTCATTTAAATTATAACAATTATTTTTGGTTTTATATTTTTTTGGATCAAATCCATTTTAATAGAATTTATATACTATTCATCTATTAGTAAACACTACCGTATATTATTTTTTAAGCTATCTTATTTTTTGAACTTTTATTCAAATCTTTGGTCGCAAGAAGAATTGCATGATAAATAAAAACATTTAATCAAAGTCAATTTTATTTTTCATATTCAAATGGACTGAGTGTTAACATTTAACATTTTTTGCTAATTGTCGTCAAAAATTAGGCGTAAAGCAAAAATTGATATTTCATATGGTTTTATGATAGATAAGCATTATATTCCCACTCATTATATTCGTAAATTTTGAGGTTTATCCTTCGCTTTTAAGATCATTGAATTTGATTTTTATATAAAATAGTTATATATTAGAAAATAATATGAGTTTATGTGATATTATTTTTCAGAAGATTTTGTGTTCTTCTTCAAAATTTTATTTTTTTATTAAAAAGAATCTTGACAAAATATACATTTACTTTAATTAATATTTAAAAACGTGCTCTATCAAAAGTTCCAAAAATTCAATATTTTAGCTTTTCTGAGGTGTCACTTTTGATGAATTTCTGTTTACAACATTCCCAACGGTCTTCTCCAACAAACTCAGCGTACATTTCAAATAAAATTTAAAAAATGTCACTTTTTTAAAAATAAATTTTTTACTTCATGCAATGTTTAACACATCGAAAGGCATGTCCATAAGACGTTCTTCTTCTAACCTCTCTAGTCTGTTTGGATAATTGGCACGTGCTGTTTCCAAATCCATTTCGTAGCGAAGACCAGACAATTTGTCATAGACTTTTATGGGTCTTCCCTTCCTATATTTAAAATTCTTCGAAACTCTCCAACCATATCTTTGTAACTCTGCTTTTATTCTAGCAGATTTTCTATCCATTCTATATGGGGGCATTTTTATAAAAATAAAAAAAATATTTTTTCTTTACTTTACATAACCGCCTGCTGCCATAAGTCTTTGACGCCAACCCATACCAGCTAATGAAGGTTGACTTGGTTTAGTTTGGAAACTAAACTTTGGTTTTGGTTTATCTTCAGTTTTTGGTTTTTCTTCTTCTATCGGTTTTTCGTCACTTTTCGGTTCCTCTGACTTTACTTCACTTGCAGGAACAGTTGTGTCGTCAACATCTTCATAAATATCATATGCCATTTGTTTTTGTTTTCCTTTCAACTTTTTGTGTTTGTTGTAAAGTTTAGAATATTTCGACTCTAAGTCAATGAGATGTTCTATAATGAACTGTTGGTCAGTGAAGTAAACTTTTCCATCTGTTGTCTCGAAAGCTCCTTCAGACTTCAATATTTTATTTGTGAGAGTCTGTTTCTTTTTTGAGATACTAGCCGTTCCATTTTTATGAAAAGTGACTTTGTAGTTAGGGTTTGTATTTCCAGACCTGGCACTTTCTATTATTGAATTTTTCTCTTCATCTGTAAGTTCTTTGACAGGTTTTGACAATGGTTCTGAACTTTTTGTTTGTGGTGTCAAATCTACCGTTTCAACTTCTTCGGTCATTTCATCTCAGTAAAAAATTTTAGTTTGGTTTGTTTTCAACTGGTTGTTGTTGTTTTTTAAGTCGGTCTAAAACTTCCTGAGGTATAGGGAGGACTTGACAAACACGTGGTGTAACTGCTGGAAGTCGACAAATCCATCTTGAACCCATTTGTCTCAATGCTGTATTGTTCATTTCATCTCAGTAAAAAATTTTACATTCCCCACGTTTGAGGTGGTTGAGGTTGGTTATTGCTTACCCACTGTTGTGCATGGTTATATCCTCTGTTAAAGAATCTTTCACCTTGGTCCATATAGTGTCCTGCTTGGTTATAGTAGTCATTTGCTTTGTTATAATAGTTTCCTGCTTGTCTTCCTACATTGTCCATCCATCCTTGAACTTTTCCTCTTGTTTCAGGATTTGGAATAAGATTTGTTGCATCTCGTGCTACCTCCCAACCTTTCTGTACAGTTTGTATAATAGGTTGTGCTTTCTCTTTCAGTATACCTAATGTACTCAAAATCTTCCTTCCAATTCCAAATGCACCTCTAGCTATTGTTCCCACTGCGGGCAAAAATCTAGATGCGACTCCTGCTAATGCGCCAAATAAACCCATTTCTTATGGGTTAAAAAATGACGAATCCAAACAAGGACCCCTATGTTTCTAAGGCAACAAAAAAAGCACTCATGATAAAAATCTTTAGTTCAACACCAAATGCTTGGTTTATGGATATCTTGGAAAACATTCCGAGGTATAGAGAAGATGGACTCCATACTGGTTAATATTTGTTGGTCAAAACACAAGATACTGTGAAGCCATACCATTATGGTCCAAAAATATTTTAGATGTGAAAACTGCTTTGACAATATTCGTTGACAAATACCATCCAACAAAACTGACATCTGACTGTGAAAGTTCTTTCAAATCAGATGATGTAAAAAACTATCTGCGTTCAAAAAATGTAAACCAATATTTCATTGTCGACCAAAACCATTCTGCTCTTGGT